GAAAATTAATGAACAACCGGAGACGTAACAATATGAATCCCTTTTATTGTCCTTTACCTGTGTGAATTTATACACATCTGTACGTTTTGGATTATAGCTTAATCAAATTTGCCATTTTGAAATTAAAAGAAAAAAACTGAAGTGAAATTACTACCTGTTGTTTTGCAGAGGTTTAACCTATCTGATATAAACACATCCCGTTACAATGCAGAGTTCTTAGAGCTTTGCCAGATTGGATATGGAGAGTTTGGTGGTGTTTACAGATGTGTTAATCGCTTAGATGGGTGCGAATATGCTATAAAGAAGTCAAGAAATTCCATAAAAGGTGCTTTTGATGAGTAAGTATAGGATTTTGTGTACTTTTATGTTGTTTTTTTAATATTAGGTGGTAATAGAAGTAGAGATCTAGAAGTAAAGTAATACTTAACTAAACACCAGATGCTACTAAAGTTAACATGGACAAACATAATACTTTCAGTAGAATCTACTGTGTGTTAGTTGTGTGAAAAATCAAAATTTTAAGTCAGTATAAATTTTGATATAACTCCATAATGTATAAATTATTTTACTGTCTAATTATTTATAAAACTTAGTTACTATTCTTTATCTAATTCTTAAGCAGTAATAACTGTACATGCATCATAACTTGTAATGATTTTACATCTCTGTGTTATAAAAAGAATGATAAGATTCCAAGGAACATTACTTTTATTCACAATGTGATAATAAAATTTAACACTCTTATCATATAAAAGTTTAAGAATGTATGATGCTTTATTAATATGTAATATGTGAATGCACATATATTATTGTGAAACTGTTAGGAAAGATGGTTGAAAGAAGTCTGTTGGAATTATTTTGGTGCTTTTCATACTTTAATAATATAACAAGGTATAATTAAACCAAAGCAGGTATATTATTTCTCCTATTGATAGATATAACAAAGGCCAAAGTGTTTGATTCACATAAAGTGTATTTTTACATGGTAATGAAAGCCAAGTTTGATGTAGAAATTTGGCAAGTTAACATGAAGGAGTATTTACCAACTTCATATTCTGTTACAGCATGTACATTGATAAATTAAATTATAGGTGTTTTGAGTAAACACCTAAAATGAGGATATAATAAAATAATTATATAAGATTTATGGTTGAATACTTAATTTTGACATTTTTACCTGTATTATTTCCAGGATTGCAAGTACCACAAAAATTTCACAGAAGACATTGAAATCTATAACAGATTGTATAAAATGTTGATTTCATATAATGAGATCCTAGAAACAAAAATTATATATATATAAAAAAACTAGATAGATGAAATAAGATACGTGTTCAATTTTGTTTCTATTATGCTCGTTTTTTCTTCATAAAATGGACTTCTTCTGAGAAAACTATCCTTTAAATAAATATTTTTTGGATTGCATATTTTCCTGAAATTACACAAGTTTCTTTTTGTTAAGATTTATATGTACTTGAGCATTGGGTTACAATTTGCACATTGTTTCCAGAAAAGTTGCTCTAAATGAGGTTTATGCCCATGCTGTCTTGGGTAAACATCCACACGTAGTACGCTACTACTCAGCCTGGGCAGAAGACCAACATATGATCATACAAAATGAATACTGCAATGGTAAGACACAGTTGATTTTTACTCCAAGAAAAGTAAATTTGTGGTTTAGGTTTTATTTTTTAATTTTTCTATTCTGCAGGGGAAAGCATGTTGTATAGATACCAAAAAGCATTCATAAAAGTTAATTATAAGACTGGCTTGGATATAAAAAAACAAAATGTATACATATAAATTTAGAAAAAGGCACACAAAATATACAGGGAGTAAGTGAATTGAACTGTAATAATACTGTTATGTATCTACTTGTTTGTTAATTTCCGGTATAAATTCTTTCCGAGGAACTTCAGCAATACAAGTCCCTTCTTGATTAAACCAGTTTATTCTTTTTCAATACAAACTTTTAGTACACAGTAATTCCATAGTCAGTACGTTTCTCGTCATTTTAAACTTAACAACTTTTTATAATACATGCTATAAATCACAGAGATTCACAATCTTGATAACTTTGCTCTCTACGAGTGCAAAACACACACCAGCTCGAAACAGAATCGTAAATTACCCGAAACTCACCGTAACTACTGTTCGCTTTTTTCATGCCCTGGCTTTTCTCTGCCAGGCTTATATAGTAATGAAGAGGCATCTCCAAAATTCGTGGAGTTCCCTGATAATTCGAGAAATTCAGTCACACATATGCCAGCAGCGTTACGTGTCTTCCGTTGTTGTAACAATACATCTTAAATTTTCAAAGCTGTTGTCATTCAGAAGTTTCCATGATGTGATTTTGATATGGTTTAGTGAGTAGCGAAAAAAAATTGGAATGTGGATTAAAAATAAATTAAAGCTACTAGAATCAATTAACATCTTACAGAATACATTGAAAATTAAACAAACTGAATGAAAATTATTTAACGTAAAATCTTTTATATTATATTGGTATTAAAATACATTTTATAAGCATTTGTTATTGATTAAAATTGTTTTAATTTTATAAACAGAGAACCTATCTTATACAGAAGTAGCATAATTTTTTTAAATATATGCTGTATTAATTAAATAATGTCTACTTATTTATTTTTTATTCCCACAAAGAATAAGCAAATCTAGATAGACAGTTGTGACATACTGAATGAAACAGAATGTTTTTAGATAAAACAATAATTTAGAAAATAAACCAAAATTAAATAATGTTTCATTAAGTCAGTCTAACAATTTGTGGAAGATATCATTCTAGTTTACTTGTGATGAGAATGTTCCATATCCTACAATGAGTTACTATATTACAAAGTTATACTCTAAGTATCTAAAATACTGTTTCAAATGATTTTACAATAAAAAGTCTTAAAGGATTAATAAAAAAAAACTATTTTTGGTATATGTAGCATAGCCATTATAAAAAATAATTCATGATTAATCATTTTTACAGGTGGTAGCTTGGCTAATGCTGTAATGGAGAACACAAGGTTAGGGCAACATTTTACTGAAGAAGAACTCAAGAAGATACTACTTCATATTGCTGAAGGACTGAAGTACATCCACTCACAGGCCCTAGTTCACATGGATATAAAGCCTGGTATTAACTTGCATAGTTTCCAATAGCTTGGCCTTAGTTGTTTGAAATTGTATACTGTTGCGTCAGCGAGTCACATGACTACAGTGACGCCACGTTTCTAGAACTATCATGTACTTTGGCGAATGCTCTAGTATTTACTAGATATAGGGTA